TTTATGACACAAATATTTCCCAGTGGGGTACCTTGAAACATCTAAGCATCTAATGCAAGCATTCATTGAGCAGAAACCACTGAGCTCTAAGTTTTAATTTAATCAACTTCCCAATCAAAGCTGTGGCACTGCCTAAGTGCAAATAAGTCAGCATTCTTTGGTTTTCTGCTTAACACTGAAAATACAAGCACCAATCCCGCACAGGAGAAACTCCTGTCTGAGCCTGACGTGCACATATTTCAGTCTTTCTGGCACTCTAACAGGCAATAGCTAGCACTCAAGCTCAACAGCAAGTAAACAACCACCATATATGTGACAATGTGACAGCTTTCCAAGTAAGATATCACTATTTTGTGCACCAGGATGGAAACAACGGCAAGAATCATTCAGCCATTTAAAACACCTTTCACATTAGACTAAGCACTAGGTGGAGATCAAAGTCATGTGTGGGTCTGTGGGAAATGAACCTTGAAGAAAATGCAGTCAGTGGAAAAATGTCAAAGTTTAGCCTTAGATTGCCTGGCTCTACCTATTTGGATGAGAGATTTCTAAAAAAAAATGAGCAAAACAAGGATGTAAGAATGTAAAAAATCCCTAAAGTTATGAAGAAGCCAGGCAAATGAACTTGGTAATCCTTGTGGGACCCTTTCAACTCAGGATGTTCTATGATTCTGTGAAGGATACATTGACAACAAACCCAAGTGACTTTCCCCAATCTCTTAAGGATGCTATGTGCTACTCACCAAGCACCTGTAAAGCATCCTGCTGGCCTCCTGTCTTCAAAGGGATCCAGTTGCTTATTAAAATCTGACATGGCACCTGTCAGATTTCATAAACATCAGCCAAGAAGTGCAATTAGTTTCATTTCCTGTCAAACGTTTGGTCACTGAAGGGGACCAAAGGGACCTCGGGCCCAACTAAACTGACATTAGCATTTCTTGCCCCCCTTCCATGGGACTTTCTACCGTGGATAAATGATGCAGAGTTGCTGCAGCTGTTTGAGATAACAAGTCAGCTCCAAAAAGTCATGACCATCCAAACCAGGATGTTATAAACTCTCTGTTCTCTTTGTATACTGCTGCAAAGGCATTTCCAGTTCATATTTCCCAGTGCTTTCTATTTTAATGACAAGAAATGCCCTTTTGTTTAAACGAAAGCTGAGGCACTCAGGTTTTAGGAAAAAAAATGAAAATACGAAAACTGAGAATGACTTAATGAGGTTGAAGGCTGTTTCTGTAAGTAAGCTGAAGAGAGGAGTTCACAAGCAGGAAAGCAGAACCACAGTGTCTGCAGAGTTTTTTATATAAAGGCGTCTCTGGTTCAGTGATTCATAGCTTTGAGGGACCTTGTGCAATTTCCTGATGCTCAGGAAGGAGCACTTTGTATCCACCAGCCACGTTACCTGGTCCGCTGCTAAGTCCCTGAGCAGTATTTGTGGAAATGCAGATATCTCTGCACACAGCGCACTGGCTATCGGCTACAAGCGGATCCTCATGTTTAGACTTGCCACGCACTGACACTGACCTATTAATAGCTCCAACTGCCCCGCAGTCACATTGCAGCCTCCTCCTGCCGCCACTGAAGGAATCTGATGACAGATCAAAGGTCAAAGAACTAATGATTTAAACCACATTCCAGGCTGTTGATACAGTGTCTGCTTACGTGACCCTAACTGCTTCCCTGTCCTTCAAGGGAGGAATATCCAGTTCAAAGTCAAAGATTACAGAGCATCCCAAAATCTAAACTTAGGAGCCCTCCCCCGTTAAACTCTTTGAACTACAGATGACAGAGCCTTGTAAAAGTCATCCCATAGACAAAACAGATGCATGCCTGGAACCTGAACATGCCATAAAGGATGCTGCAAGTGCGTTTTGATGTAGGCTTTCCTAAACAACCCGCAAAAACATCTAACTCAAAGAGAGCTAGCACGTTTGTTCTGTAATTATGAAACCATTTTACACTAATTTCTAGCAATGTTTTAACAGAAGCTACAAGTTGCTTCTCCATGGGAGACCTGGGCTTGCGGAATGTTTCCTGAATGCCAAGACTTGGCTTTGTCTCATAATTAGCAGGAGTACTAGCTGGTAATTGCTGTTTGATATCTGACACTGCCATTGCACATAGAACGTTCAAACACAGTAAAACATTTCCACCTGGCACAGCCCAGTCAAATTGTGGACATTTATGACATTTAGTAGGAACTAGAAAACTTGAGGACACTACCCATATCCATGAAGCAGGATTACTCATTTATGAGGTGGCTGTCTTTTTTTTTTTTATTATTATTATTATTGTTTAGACTACTAAATGGAAGCTTGTTTTCCAATTTATATTCATCATCAAGAATAGGGACACTGTCCGCTATCTGAATGCCCCTAATAATACATTACCTCGTTAAGGGGACACAGCCTGTCTCTCTACATGAGACAAAAATCAAGCATTGTAAACTTTTACCTTGTTACTAGCAAATCTTAAAGCTGGTTTTATTATTTTGGCTGTATTGAAACTAGCATTTCCCTCTAACCCAAAAGATGAATCACAGGCTTATTATTAAGTCTCATTATAGCAATTTTTCTAGCCTCAAAGTTTCCTCTCTTGGTACTTGCAATAGGGTAAAATGAACCATAATCTTCTGCCAATGACAAAAAAAAAATATCAGTTCATATCAGATCACAACTTAAACTGATATTAAAATCTCTGCTAGTGCACAATGTAATTTATGCCCTGATCCCACACACATTTACATAAGTAACAGACACTGCAGTGCATAGTCTTCGTTTTCCAAATAAGTTACTCACATGCATTGAAGTTTACAAGAATTTTTATTTTTTTTTACTTCTTTACATGCCACTAATTCATTCTTGATCTTGTTCATGCTTATTAAAGACAAAAAGTAATAAAAATGAGGTCTCTAGCACAGTCTCCTATCCCTCCAACCTTCACCTCTCAGCCTCCCTCCTTTCCACATGCTACTTCCATTGCCAAGTACCCATTAACACTTTGGTTAGAGAGCAGTGTGCTCTTGGTAATATATAAACTAAAACCAGTTTATTACAATTGGAGGCTAATGAACAAGGCAAAACAGAATCCAATTAAGCCTCTATTTGTAACACAGAATGGTAATTCCTTAGCAAGATGAGTGACTTTGTTATAACACTGCAAAACGCAACTGCTCTGCATCGTGCTGCTAGAGTTACACTCCTAAACGTTTCTTACCATCCCCTGTCCATCATGCCCTTGTTAACTCCAGCTCCAAGTCAGCTGCTGGCTGCCTGAGATTCCTTGCCTATCAGGAGTCCTGAGGAGCTCGCCTTCTGGGGCGCAAGGCACACCATTTTCAGCTCTGTTCCTTTATCAGCTCTTATGCGGAGCTACAAATAGAAGCAGCCAGCCTTGCTGGGCAGATAGGACAAAGCAGCGGTATGCGTTTGGTTCTCAGTGGGCATGGAATAACTGCTAGCTACGCCTTATCTTGGGGGCATGTAAACACACTGATTGGTAGAGGTTTTCCTTGCTGCCTTTGTCAAGGAGCAGTTTTACTGTCTCTTTTTACCAAGACTGATTCCAGAGATGGACACAGCACCAGATTACTGGGCATGAGAACCGCCTGATCATGTTACAGGACATGGAGCATGTCCTGGGCTGGCCAGTGCAGCACGGAGGCTTAAGCCCCTGTTTCCTGCAGTGCTGGCACACATGGCAAGCAGTCACAGCGTGCCTACGTGCCTCTGACACAACCTAGGAAGCAGGATTACGATCACATCAAACCCACTTAACAGCAGGCTGTAAACAGCGTTGTGAGCATGGACAGCAACGACAAAAAGGAATCCCACGTACAGCACACTAAAAATGGTCACACTGAAACCCTGCTACAGTACTGAGACAGCTTTATGAGGAAATGTTTTTTGTTTTTTGGTTTTTTCCTCATCTTCACTAGACTATCAGAATAAGTCTAGAAGTAAAAGCCTAAACATTTTCAGCAGGTGTCTGTCTGTTCAGTCATACAAGCTTGTTCAAGGCTTTCACACTGTAAATGTATGAGCTAAAATCTCAAGAGCAAATATTGCTATGCACAAAGGAGAAAGACAACAACTAAACTGCCTGTAGATGCAGCTGATGCATTCTGCTCTCAGTATGAGTTGTTGTTTCCTCTGGCTTAACAGCAAACTGCCTATAGTGAGAGGGTCTAACTTTACCTTCTGTAGTGGAGCCACGTTAAATTAAAAGCCCATTAGACCAAGAGGAAAAATGCTTACTCTAACATCTGTGTCCCACTTGTATGAACCATATGGTCAGCCAATATGCAATATGAGTAAATTACTATACAGTTTAAACAAAAAAAAATGTATTCACTTAAATATGAGAAGTCAACAACAAACAAGTTCTGAAGCTCAGGTAAAAACAGAACTTGGAACTACCTCCTCCATATGCCACTTTTTTTCCCTCTAAGTGAAAGACACAAACACAAAAAAGACAACACTCGCTGGCAAACCCAACTAATAAGGCACAGACTGAATGAGAGTTAGTGGGAGCCTTAGAGGTAGCAGGAGACCAAAATGAAAATCAAGGCCACGAAAAAAAAAAAAAGTGGACCCTGGAAAAAGAAGTAGAGGCCTAGCAGTACTGAGAGACCAGGAAAAAAAAATGGAGACAGAATTAGTGGGGGGCCAAAATCAAGTGTGAGAACATTTTGAGTCTCCTAGCAGTGCTAAGTTTATCCCCCCTCCTCATGAATCAAATATCCAATATAATCTTTTCAATTACACTCTAAATGTTTGCACATTGAATTTGTTCTGTGTAGTGTTGATCACCTTGCTGCTTGTATGTGGGTGATTCAGCCCTTTTACTATCCATTCATTACCTTCCCCACCCACAAATCCTTGACATATTGAGCAAGAGGAATATCCTGCAGATCACAGGAGGCTTTATGTCTCATAACTGCTTCAAGGTATATTTTCATAAACTGACTCATTTCTAACAGGTGATCATCAAGGTCTTACCTTTGCAGGTGAAGCATTTGATGTGAAAGTGTCTGGCCTGAACACGGAGTACTTCACCTTTACATGGCTCTCCACATTTATGGCAGTGGATGACTGGCTTTTCCGATGGGTGGTGAGGCTCTTGAGGATGGGCCACTGTAAAACAAACAAATATGATTTAAACCTAAAGAATTTCTGCTATACCTGAATCTGTATTCCCAGTAACTTCTCATCACAAGTTCATCCCATCACATTTCACACTCATCAAAAAAAGTCACAACCGTTTAAAAAAATATAGTCTTTTCATAAAACAGTAGTTTAAGCCACCCTTACCCACTACCGCTTTCCAGTGACTCTGCCATGGACATGTGAAGATAAGGAAAAATTCCCTCTGCAGTTTTGACACCACAAAACGTTTCAGAGTCCACAAGCTTTTCTTTCCAAGAACATGAATGCATGTAATTCATTCAACAAACACACAAGGCAGCAAGAACTGGACTATTTTAATACAAAAATAAAGAATACAATCCAAGAAAAAGAAGGAAAGGAAAGCAATTCCAAGTCATGTTTTGGGAAAAAAAAAAGATGAATGAGGTGGCTTGACTTTGCATGCAAATGGCTATAATAAAACTGCAGCCCTCTCAACTTTGCTTTAGTACATACAGGGAAAGCACATCTGTAGAGAACAGAAGCCAAGTTTATTTGTTTCCTGCAGAAACAACTATCTCATGCAAATTAGAGATATTATGAGTAGACAGAAATGCCCAAAGCATATGCAATAGTCAGGGTGACAAAATTCCAGGTACTGGGAAATCAGCAATCCCACAGCCCTTAGCAGAGCTTGGGCAGGAACAGGAAAGGTTTGTGTCAGCTTTGTTGTATATTTCATTGCGGTAATAAAAGTTTTATTGCTCCACATTTGGCTTCTGTAAAGCAATGTTTAACTTTTTCTTCAGATGTGCCTTGTGTCAGCCCGGGGCTCCAACAGCAATGCGCGGGTGTAAGGTAGAACAAAAATGCGTCTCAGCTGGACTGTGTGAAGTGGAAAGTGTTACCCAGAATGTTCCCAAACAAAACTCTGTTCCCTCAAATCCTCCTCCTAAATCCCATTTTAGCAGCAATAAGCTGTCCTAATGCTGCTCCCAAAGTACTGATACATTGATATTTATCAGAACATTGCCGAGATAATGTGCATCTCTTCACCCCATCTCTCTCCTCCTGCCATTCCTGCCCTGCTTTTCTTGGACTGACTGCTGATAGACCCATATCATTTTCACTGTCGCTGGCAATCGTATTGATTATTTAAGCTCAGCATTTTCTGGAGCTCTATTTTCCTTTCCTGATCAGCTCCTGACATCTCCCCAACCAGGATAATGCTTTTTTTCCAGGTTAGTGCTTATGCAGCAAGAGAACACATACCTTGCTCATATTTGCTGTACCAGTTTCCTCTCCTTTCTCAATGAATTTCTATGAAAGAAACCTATCATTTCATCAAGTTCTTGTACATTACTGTCCTTTATAAATGCCTTTGTTAAGAAATATGTTGCTATAACTGCATGAGATATAGCAAGTACAAGATTAATAATAAAAAAAAATGACTTAAGGGGATCAACAGCATGCAGAATAGAGAATAACACATATTTCAAGCAATAATTTCTGCTGTAATTTCAGCCAAGCTAACATGGCAGCTGCTGTTTTGTTTTCGCCCCAATCTCCTAAAAGACTTCAAAGCAAATGGCTGAATTCCTCTACTCAAATACCAAGTTGTGAATACCTCCTCTTCTGGTAGCCTCACTTCAATTATTTCCCTCGATTCAGTCCAGAATCAGAGTGCAGTTGGCAATGCCAACCAATGTTTTAATTAGCGGTTCCATCTAAATAAGATCCCAGTAAATGCCTTGCCTTGAGTGAACCTCATCTAATAGGCTGCAATACAAAACTATTTCTGGAACAGAAGTTATTATTCTTCCAAACAAGACTATTAACAATTAACTTGTAACCAAGGAAACACACAGTTTATGCAATAAGAGGGAAAAAAAAACACCAAAAAAACAGAGAGAGACAAGCAGGGGGCTAGCAAAGGAAATTATTATGAGGAAAATTCCCTTTCTGATCCAGACAGCCCAAGGTGGGCCTGGAGCCAACTGAAGAAAAGGTATCAGAGCAAATTTTCTAAAATTGCTCCAAGGAGGAACTGAACTGAGGATTTGGGCAAGTGGTATCTAGGACTTGCATGGTGCAGATTGAAATCTGTACCTGCAATGTTCTGCTCACAGACTTGTGTGGAGGACACCCTAGCACACCCTGCGTGCCAGCACTCAGACCTTCTGGTATTGATCTGAAAGACAAGTTTTTGCTCTTTATTGGGAGTAAGTAAATGTTTTCAAGACTGGTCCGACGATGCAACTTCAAGTTCTGCCTTTACAGCCCTTTAATGAATACAAATGCTGTTAGTTGCTATTTCCAGACCGATCTCTTTAGTGAAGCTAATTATGTTGCTTGTCTTACTGGCCTCAAATTGGAAATGTAGGTCAAGATTTGAGTAATTGACTTGTTCTCTTGCAAGGAATAACTTGCAAGCTTTTTTTCTCTGGCCATATGCAACATACAGAAGGCAGAGTAAACCCTTTATAGGCATCAGCAAGGGAACAGTGCTTACATGTATGAGTGAGACCAGCATCAGAACAGGGAGTTAAAGAAAGACTAATACCTTTACAAGCAATTTATTTTAAGTGTTCCTGACTGAAGTCCAACCAGCTTACTGGCCATATAAATAGTGAGCTGCTTTGGGTCTGAAAACCCAGAGCTAGAAATTAAGAGAGGTACTGGGAGCTCAGGATTCTTCAGCTTGGATTATGGTGGCAGGCCAAACCATCCAAATCTGAAGCAGGTCACAGTCTGCTGCTCAGAAGTCTTAATTACCTTAGTGAATACTTATGTATAAACAGATGAAAATAAATTTTATCTAGAAGGAAACAAGTATTTTCTTTCCATTTACAGTAGCTAGGAGCAAACCTGCATGATCTGGTTTAGCACACTATGCAGTTTTCTCAGGTTACTCTAAAATTGATTTTGTTCCAATTTAAAAGAACATAAACTAATAATTTTGAAGGCAAAATGCTCCCAGAGCAACACATTCTTGGCTCAGTACAGCGGCTCACAGTTGTCTTTGTATCATAAGCTGCATACTTTTCTGTATGGGTGTGGAAATGTAAGTCAGGTATTTACCAGCTCTAGCATACTGGTGTGCACTGGTACTTGTCTATATACAAGCCTGGTCAGATGAATTCAAGATGCAATTTTTTTGTCTCTTTAGCCCAACCAGCATAGCCTGGCACAGGGATCCGTTAATGCAAGATTAAACACCGTGCACTTGCCTACCTCACATCAGGAACATGTAGATGCCTACTAATAGAAGGGATCATTTTAAACATCTGCTTTTCTGTAAAAAGTACAAAAATACCCAAGCTACTAACACATTTTTGTTTTTATTTTTAAAACTGGCCCTAGCTGAACTACTGCAATGTCCACAACTGAACAAACCCCAAGGGGTGCTAGAAGCAGACATACACGTCAAATGGGTGTGAGCATTTCTTTGAATATTTCATTTTGTTTTTATTCCTTCAGCACTTTTCAGGAATTACTCTGAAAGCTACAATACCTATAGAAGTCTAAGCTGTAACACTCTTTCTAATTTTGCACTGACTAATCACAAGAGATCATCAATAAAACTTTCCTAAAGTTTCAAGTCGCTTTATAGCAATTTTCACTTGCAATGCTGCTGTATCCTGCTTGGACTTTTTATTTTTATTTTATTAATGAAAAAACAAAAAAAATCTCTGGGCAGAGATGTACACAAAACTCTTCAAGACAAGCTAGGCTGAGACTTCCACTCTTGCTTACAGGACCAGCTTAAATGAATAATTAATAGATAATTAATGCTTTCTTCAGCTCACTCGGGTTTCCAATAAGACAGATCAATAGACTATTAAACATTCCATTTACCCAAAGTAACAAGTATGGACAACTGCAAAGTCTGGACTACTTTTTCTTTTTAATCAAAGAAAGAGAAAAACAACAAAACCTCATTTTTCTGAGGAATAGTCTGTCACTAATCTTGCTTTGTGCTAATCTCACTCCATAGACATATCAGCATAATTTGTGTTGTTCTTTACATCCCCTCGTGAATCATGCCATGTTGATTTCATTGCATTTAGCAACTTCACTACATTGATGTAAATTCAACTTCACCAGCCTGGGAGTGCTTGTTTCTGCATTTTACCAAAACATCTCCAAATAATCACAGATTTCCAAAGAAAAAGCAACAATTAAAAAAAAGAAGAACAAAACTTTAACAACCCCATGTTCATGACAAGCCTGAAGTAGTTTCTGAACAAAATTAAGGAATTAATTTGCTGTGCAAAGTTTAAATCTGCCCTGTCAGTGCTGCTTTATGTAGAGCAGATCATTGTGCGAAGGTTTAATAGCAATTACACATCTTGCTGCCTCAGCACCAAGTCCTTCTGAAATGGAAATTACAGGTATTACCTGAAGAGTAACAATTGTTGAATTAAAGAAAACAAGAAAAATAAATACTGCAGCCTCCCTTTCTGATGATTCTCTCCCTGAGCTTGACCTGAGCACAGAGCTGTTGGGAAACCAGACGAGCTAAGTGACTGAGCTGCAGATTCTCCTGGCAAGACTCCACGGCTCTGCTGAAAGCCACAAAATACTTCGGCTTTTTATTGGAAGTCAGAAAGAAGCTTCTGGGAAACGCCTTGCTATGAGCATGCTGCAAAGCAGAGGTTACAGCAAAATATGCTGGCTTCAATTCTGCTCTTAATTGAAGTAAAAAGCAGCTTCGTCTAAATTTAAACATGAGGAGGATATAGGCTAGTGCTGTCTAAAAGGTCCGTTTTTTAGTTTTCATATTTGCATGCCTACCTTTGCAGATAAACGTGGAGTTACGCCCAGTCATTCTGATCGTGTTGTAGCAGCTGGGACTTTTCACTTCCTGCTAGGATATACAGTTTTTATGACTTCTACCTCCGCAGCCTCTGGAGGGTTTTTGCACACTGAGAATATCCTGCACCCAGAGCAGCACAGGTGAGGGGACCTTCAGGATTTCACAGCTGTGCCCTTCACATCTTAGGAGT